TTTTCTAGTTTTAAGAATTCAAAAAAGAAGAATAAATTGAACCAAGATTAAAATTAATTTTATTGGAAATAGTCATTAGTGTATATCTCTATTTTAATCTTAATTATAATAAGCTGTGTTGTTTTTTCTTTTTTTTATGAAAATTACTTTGCACATTTTTGTAATATTCTTTACAAATTTAATTAATTTTATTTAATTAATATTGTGTTTAATCTTTAATAGGAAACGTCATGTATTGATCTTGAGCATAAATTGGATGATGCACGAAGAGCACACGAGGCTCTCATGGTGGAGAAGGGTGACACCATGAATCGATTGGCGCAAGCATTACAAGACAGTCAAACCCAATGTCGTAATCTCATGACCACTAATAACGTTCAGCAGGTGATGCAGCTGCAAGCGCAAGTGAAAATGTTAACTCAGGAAAAAGAAGATCTGCATAAAAACGTACAAGATTTGCAGGTAATTTATTTTTTACAACTTTTTAAAAATAGAATATTATAAGAAACTGATTTAGCGATAAGTTTCTTATTTATTAATTATTATTTGTAGAACAAATTAGACCTAATTAAAAACGACGTTGTGCAATACGATTCGTTATTGGCTACTACTCTGGAGGATGAGTCTGGCTCGATTAGACAAATGAAATTAGGTGAACTTTATAATAAATCAAAATCGAAACCCGTTGATGACATCACAAACAAATTAAAAGGTGAACTACGTAGGTAAGTACCATTTAAATATATTTATCATTTAAACGTTTATTTTTTATTAAATATTGTATTAATTTTGCTGTTTATTTTTTATGCGATGCTATTTTTGTTTAGATGTATAACTGGTCAAGCTGTAAAAAGAAAAGAGATAAATCGTTTAGAGAATACTTTGTCACAGAAAGATAAGGAATTAAATGAAGCTTTGATATTAGCTGACACGTATCGCCAAGAAGTAGCACAGAAGGCAAGCGAATTAATGAATGCGCGCAAGCGAATTAATGAATTAGAAGAAGAATTGAAATCTCTATTAACAGACGAAGCCATGAAAGCAAATGCTAAAATACAAAAACTCTCACATCATTTAAATGATGTGAAGAAACAGTGTGAGCTACTACGCGATGAAAAGATTAATTTGGAACAGAAATTAGAGGAGGCTTTAGCTGTTAATCAGGAGAAACTCAAAAAAATGCATCAGGAGACTATGGAACAACAAGAAAAAGAAGCCATCGATGAGTACAACAAAGAGTACCTGGAGATACATGCTAAAGCCATAGAAAGAGTGAAACAAGAAGCACAAATAGAAATAGTACAATTGACGTAAGTATCGTTTTTGTTTTTAATTACATTGCCTTTATATAACTTAATAAAAATGTTAATAAATATTATTAATAAATCTATGCAAATAATATATACAAATGGAATTTCTATTTTTAGTGTACAATTAGAGCAAACACAAAAAGAGTTAGATCGTGTAAAAGAATTGTACATAAACGTTTGCGGGACGAAAGAACATTTAATAAACGAGCATAAAAACGAAATTAAAATGCTGAAAAATAAATATGCTGCAATTGAATCACATCAGAAGGATATGGAGAAATTGGAGAACGAATTACAAACGCAGATTAAATTGTGTAATAAGTTAACTAAGGAATGCGAGGACTTCAAAAGTAAAATAATCGAATTAGAAAAAGATTTAGTGTACGAAAGAAGAAAAAAGGAGGATCATGTAAAAAAAATACATTCAGAAATAGAAAGGGGTAAGTATTGAAGTCATATAAAGCAAGAAATTTGAAACCTTTTGCATGGAAAGTATGATGAATGTCTCATTTTTTTTTTTAATTTAATATTCTATTTCAAGCAAAAGAAGAAGCGTTACATGAACTACGAAATGCACATCCAAATCAAGAAATAAGTTTTCTTTTGCCGGATCATTGTTCTGAACATCTAGAAAAAATTAACCAGGTATAAAATAAGTCAAGCTTGCAAACTTTAAAACTTCGAAATTGTATGAAAAGTTGTTATATTTGAGATTCAATTATATTTCATATATTTAAAAATCTATTCTTTATGCTCTGAATAATATTCTATTCTATTATAGTTGGAGGAAGATTGCAAACGCTTAGAAGAGAAGCTCCAAATTGCTGTGCAAGAACAAAAAAAGTTATCCGATTATCAAACCGAATTAGATGATGCTAAATTGAAAATAGCGCAAATGGAGATCACGCAGGAATCATGGAAGAAAAAATACGAGAAGATTGCTAGTGAAAGAAAGGATCTTCTCGCAAAAATTTCCAAATTAGATTTGGAATTATTGAATTTGAAACGCACTGCGAAACTAGAAGATTCGGATGATGTAAAGTTGAAAATTTCTCGGTTTCAAGCGGAGAACGATACACTGAAAAATCAATGTGACAGTCTGCTTAGTGAAAGAAATACTTGTAAAGAGAAAATTTCTGAACTAGAAACTGAACTCTTCAATGAGAGAAAAAAAGTTAATAATTTCGAAGGATTGCGGAAAAATGGCGAAAGTACATTAAACTCGAACAGTGAGTTGGAGAAAGAACCCTCTCATTACAAAGATCCAGGTGTCGCACAATTATCCAGGCTAAATAACTCGAAAGAAGGACGTTTGAACGAATCAGCAGCATTGGAACAGAGGATACAACAATTCGAACATGATCTACGAAGTAAAGACGAAAAACTGAGCAGACTATTAAAAGATTTCAAGAAGATAAAAGACGAGAGAGATCAGCTAGTGATGAAATTGCGAAATCAAGCCAAACAATTTGAACAATTTGTCAAAAGTCAGAATAAAGTGTCCGCGGAATTGAATCTGTCTCCCCGCAGTACGGGCGACAGTACCGACTTTCAGAAGATGAAGGAGATTATGGCGAAAGAGGTACGAGAAGAAATGGAGCAGAGAGTAGCAAAAGAACTCAGAGGAATCGGAGAACAGAATAGAAAAGAGCTAGAGGAGTTGCAAGGAAAGTACAAAACTACTGTATTAGAGTTGCAAAGACAGTGTAGCGAGAAAGATGAAGAGATGGAAACTCTGCGAAAGGAGATAAAAGAAGAGAAAATGAAGGTCGATCAAATCAGTCAAATTATAGGAAGCAAAGTAGAGACTTACAGCCAAGAGTTTCAAGCGCGGAGGCTATGTATCGAGAAATTGACCATGGCTTTAAAAAAGAAAGAGAACCAAGTTGAGGAGGATAGAAATTATATGGCCGAGATTATGACAAAATGGATGGCTGAACTAAAAGAGAGTAAAGCTAAGGAAAAGGAGAAAGATGAGGAGATACAAAAGCTGAAATTCACTGAGGAAAAATTAAACGTCGAACTGAAAACATTGATCGAGAAACAAAAGCATTTGAAGAACAAATATCGAAAGGCAAAACAGACTGCGAATAATTACAAGGTACATATATAAGAATCAACATTTATCAATTTTTTTTTTCTAAAAGACACATATAACGTGTTCGAATTTTAGATCCATGCAGAGAATAATCGGGAGTTTCTATTGCGTGAATGTAAACGTATCGAGGAGGGATACAAAAAGGCCATCGAAGAAGCACAGCAAAGCTGTCTAGCGCACGACGAGCAGTATACTACAAAAGCCAAGAAGCTTGAGCAACAACATGTAGAAAAAATGGAACAAATGCAACTTACACTGAAGTACAAAGATAAATGTTGAAGTACGTACTAAGTATTCTTTAAATATATGCAATATAGCTTTCCTTCGGCTAAGATAAAGCGGTAGTTACAGAGGCTAGATACCTTTTTTGTCTTTAATTTAAAGCACATTATTGTACAACAATATATTAGCGGAGTTTTTTAATGTTAGGGACCAATGTACGCGTAAGTAAATCATATGATATCGGTAAAATTATTATATCGCGTTTGCTTGCCAATCTCGAATCTCGACGAAACGGCGGACGTTAAATGTAGCTATAAAGCTATATACATCTGAAGTACAAGTGTCTGGTAAATCATAATGTAATGCTATGCATATTATTAGTCAGTAGGAAAAAATCGTTTTTATAATATAATTAATATTGTACAGTAGAGTTTCTATTCTGTAATAATCGTCGGGATTGAAATGCCTCGTTCTCTCTTTCTCATTCCATATCATTACAACAAATATGTAGAGGAAAAGCGGCACAAACGACTGTTTTAAAACAGAAAGAGATCGACAATAAAGGAAAACAGAATAGAGGTGTTCTATTGTACATCACAATTTTATAAATTGTCTATAACTTAAGGCGAAACACAAGCTCGCGAACAAAAGAGAAAACTTTAGTCATGTGTTTCCGCTGAGCATTATTATGACATAATAAGCAAGACTGGATCTCTCATTCTTTCTCTCTTTTTTTCTTATGAAAGTAAGCGTAATAAAGAGAGAAAATCAAAACATAGACTTTAAGAAAAACATTTAATCTTTGGCTCTCTTTTCTCATTCTCTTTTTTTCTTCCGTGAAAATCTCTACTCTGTAACGTTTATTCTCGAGCATAAGGCAATTATTTATATTTTGTGCGCAAGGAAGCGCACAAATAATATTGGAATAAAACATAGGTATCGTACAAAGTATGATTCTTAGAAAAGACTCCGCACAAACCTTATGAAAATTTAATTTCGGTCGAATTGGCTGAAAATTTGATGTAGATCTTATCCTGATAAAAAGTCTCCAGGTACAACTTCCTATAATAAACTGTTTCACCTCTCAAATTCAATTTAAGATTTGTGCGGAATCCTTTGCTTTATATATGACATGTCTTATCTAGAAATTCTGATTATATTAAACATTTTCTAGTACGTTAGACAGCAGGACTGAGTATCAAAGATCTATTTTATCTTTATTCTCAATTGACTTAAAAAGTATATTTAAAAAATAATTAGATCTGAAGCATTCGTCGTATTTTTTTATTGAAAATTTGGCGAAACATCTAATTGAATATTCAATTGAAATAATTTAATCGATTCTCCTCCTATTTCTTTCTTTCTTTCTCTTTATCTCTCAATTAATTTTATTACGCAATTGTGTGCAATCTCAGAGAATGGCCAATTACGTATCGGCTTGTAAGAATCGCGGAATATAATATAAATCAAATAAATCTCTATGTATATCTCTTTTTTACGTGAAGATCTTTGTAAAATTATTCTGACATCAATGTCGTACGTTTAAATAGGTAAACATTAGTTTACCAGTGTCGTCACTGGATATAGAGAAGTATTATTAAAATTAATTAGTTAATTAATGTATTTTTGTATATGTAGAGTGAATTAATTTATTTTTTGTAATAAAGAATTTATGTCGCTGTCGAAATGTATGATTGTTGCATTATTTTATTCCAACAATTCTTGTTTTATATGTACAAATTTGTAATATTGTTAAAATTTAAAAAATTTTACACACACACACAGGGTGCCTTATTTTCAAAGGTTTCACTGAAACACTGCGTTAAATCGAAAAATGTTTCAAACAAAAGTTTTGTGATTTCCAGGGGGACATAAGATTGATTTCATCTTGGATGGTTGTTGTTAAGGTCAAGGTAAGGTTACTTCATTTTCAATTTTTTTATGGAACTCTTCGTTTTTTATTAGATATTCTTGTAGCTTACCTTGAGAATTTTTCGAAACTCTATAATAAAATATTTTTTCATTAAATACTTTGCGAGTTGTAAGATTTGAAAGTTACAGTACCGCCAGCATTAACATTATCCAAGGTGATGATCTTGATCTTGAAAAATATTATCCAGGTCATGATCCTGAACAACATTCAAGAGGTTTTAGCCGTTGGCGGACACTTTGGGCAATGCTAATGCCAACGGTATTGTAACTTTCAAGTCTTATAACTCGCAAAGTATTTAATGAAAAAATATTTTATTATAGAGTTTTGAAAAATTCTCGTAAGCTACAAGAATATCTAATGAAAAATGGGGGGGGGGAGTCCCCCTCGAAGTCACAAAACTTTTGTCTGAAACATTTTTCGATTTAACGCAGTGTTTCTGAGATATTTGGATCCTTTAAAATGGGACACCCTGTATGCGTATGTATATGTGTATATTTGTATATAATGTAACATTAAAATGTTAAAAATATATACATATATAATCTTTCCTGTTAACGTTACAAATTCATTTTACGAAGATATAGATACGTATGTGTACGTATATGTATGTATCTATATCGACGACGTAATAAAATCGCGCGATAAAACAGATACTGCATTAAAGAGCTGATTCGTTCGTTCCGTGACACGCCGTATATACACCGAGTTGCGCAGCGTCATCGAAATGGGATGATGCCGAGTGCGTTCTGGCAGGAAGGAACGTTCTGTCGAGATACGAGTGTGTTACAGCGACTCTGAGAAAGAAGACGAGTGTTCGCTATTGAGAACGCCGGCTTCTTCGCGGCTGCATCATGTATCTGTTGCTATTGCTCTGTGCCTTGATCGTGTTATGCTGGTCAACGATTCAGCTTCGAAGCGAATTCGCCGCGAACTGGACTCTCAATCATGATGCGCTGTCGCTGCGAAGCGCCAGATATAAATATGAAATCAAGACGCTCGACGTGCGCGTAAGTTGTCGCACATGTTGCACATATTAATATGATATATCAATTGTTAATTTCTATCAATTAAAAAAAACCAATAATTAATCGTACATTAATTATTAATAATTCACTAGTCAATTTAACATTAATTATTAGCTGCGAGATAGTTATATATTTCTTTTTGTTGCAAATAATTGTATATTAAAACATATTCCATGTGTATCATCATGTGATTCATGTTGAACTTTCCACTTATACTACTTGTAATAATATTTTGAATAAGAACAAATATAAAGATACACTTTATAATATCATTGATTAATATATTATATTACATATGTATACAATTAACATGTATGAAATAATTATCACATCATGTATAATTATCATAGTACACCTGATCTGAATAAGTCGCGCAAATCCGGTACGGTATTAATTAATAATTACGAGGTGATTGTTAGTTCAGATAGTTTAGATAGTTAATTTCTGTTAAATGCAAAACTGATAATTATAAAAAAGTCAATTATTCGTAACGAAAATAAATTCGTTATCTAATAATTACTGTTGATAATTTTACGATATGGTTCTCAAGGTCGATCACTTCAGTTTCGCTGTACAAGATACCTTCAAATTGAGATATCTCATAAATGACACTTGGCGAAAACAGCAAAATGCCCCTATATTCTTCTACACCGGAAACGAAGGCAACATTGAAGTTTTTGCGCAGAATACGGTAAGAGCGATCAGCTGTTTAGTCACAATAATTGATAGAACGCAATATTGCGTTATCCAGGCCACTTAATTAGCTACAGCTTATATGACTTAATAAGTGTTTACATTTGTTGTGAATATTTTATTGTGCGTTCCTAATGCAATATCTTTCTAACAAGCACAAAGCTAGTGATAAAGCTTCTCAATTACACTCCAATACATAAATAATTACTATAATTGTTATAGGATTATTAATGAAATAACATACAAATAAATAAAAGTAGATTAATGAGAGTAAGCGCAAATAAATTACGCAAATTATTATGAAATAATTCAATACTCTATAATTGATGTCTTCTTTATTTGAATGTTTCAACTCTCTTTGGACTTCTTAGTAATGTAAATACAAAAGTATTGATAGCTCATACTCATGATGATCAAGTCATTTACAAATTGAAACGTTACTAATTTGAAAAATAAAAAAAAATATCATTAGAATGGAAAATTCAATGAATAAAGAAAAAATAAGTGACTTGCCATTAAAGAGCGTGTTACATATTAAAAATCAAAATTAAATACAGATGTTGTAGTAGTCAAGAATTTAGACATACAGATTGTACATGTTAAGATCATGTCCGTACATAACAACATGTTGCTCAAATTTCATTATTATTTCATAATTCGAGCGATAATTATCATATTCATCATAAGTACGGACGTGATCTTGACATGTACAATCTGTGAATTCTTGATACTACAACGCATCTGTATTTAATTTTGCTTTTTAATATGTAATAAAGCTTTATGAGCTTTTCATTTCTTAATAGTGAATCATTTATTTTTTCTTTGCTCATTGAATTTTCCATTATAATATTTTTTTTTAAATTTGTCAGATTAATAATCTTTGTCAATTTGTAAGTAACTTGATCATTATGGAAATGAACTATCAACACTTGTATCTACATTACTGAGGAGAATTCTAAAGAAAGTTGAAACACACGTTCAAATAAAGAAGACTCATTCCAACTACAGAGTATTAAATTATTTCATAATAATTCGCGTTCTTTATCTACGCTGATTCTCATTAGTCTATTTTTATTTATTTGTATGTTATTTAGAATTTGAGAGTCTATTTGTAATTATTATTAATGAAATAATAGTAAATAAAGTATAGAAATAAGTTAATATCGTTAAAAAAATACTAAAATATAATTAACAAAATATTTGAAAATGTAGAATAGATTGTAGAAAACTATACAGTATTTAATAAATAAGATTTGTTTCTCTATTTTATTTTTCATTTATGCATTGATTCACATTCAAAATCAATTTAATTTCACTTGATTAAATCGTAATTATAAATTGAGATAATTTTTTATTTAATAAATAAATCTCAAAACTACGAAATTAATATATTAAATTAGAGCGATGAGATTGTCACAAAACATTTTTTTAGTAAACTAAGTTGATCATGTTTCATAAATTATCTTTCAAATTTAAATAATAATTGGTTACGAGCCAAAATGAATGTTTATTGCTCAAATGTATTTGATGAATGTAATGAACAATAAAATAGATTTAATTCAACCTTTATCAGGTTATTTTTAGTGTTAGACAAAAACAGAGTATTTTGTATTGCACCCAATACGAATATCGAACAATAATTTGCCGCAGTTTGAAATATAAAAAACTATGTCATACAAGTATTACTTGTATTACTAAATTACTGATAAATCTTGCTAAAACATTACTAGATTTCAACCTTTTGGTTGAAATGTATATGTTATCTCATTTCAATTCTTTAAAAACGAGCTTGATATATTCCACAGGGCTTTCTATGGGAAATTGCACCGAAATTTAACGCATCGGTAATATTCGCTGAGCACCGTTATTATGGCGAATCGCTACCTTACGGGAATCAGTCCTTCGCGGATCTGCAGCATCGCGGCTATCTAACGTCCCAACAAGCTCTAGCTGATTATGTAGAACTTATCGCGCATCTGAAGTCGCAACCAAGATATAACCGTAGTCCAGTCATAGTTTTCGGTGGCTCTTATGGTGGTATGCTTAGCGCTTGGATGCGCATGAAGTATCCCGATGTTGTTCAAGGGTATGTTTTATCGCTGGATGACAGTGATATCT